ATTCTTCTTCTTCTTCTTCTTCTTCTTCTTCTTCTTCTTCTTCTTCTTCTTCTTCTTCTTCTTCTTCTTCTTCTTCTTCTTCTTCTTCTATGTTATAATGTTTGTTGTTGTAGCAACTGAGGTTTACTTGCTGGTTATAACATTAGCGATCGCGTTGTTCAGGCTGTCGGCCTTACGTCGATGCCGTTCGCAATCCGAGTATAATCCAAAATTCGAAAATACAGTGTACACCGTATTTGAAGTAAAAATATCCTTATCTATGATCTACTTTAATTTGGAAGAATTATGAGCAGTGACAATCATAGTTTTCCTTCCCTTCTCTATCCGGGGATGAAAGGTTTACGGTGGATGTGTCTTCCCTTACCTCCTCAATTCAAAGATTGACAGGGCGCGGAACTCTGATGCTGTTTTCTTCACTTTGGTTAAACATCTTTTTTTTAAATGGATAAAGGTGAGAGAATTTTCGTTGTTGCTAATCATATACATTGTATGCAGGAGCACAAACAGTTTTAAACATATTTTGTCCTTCCTAAGATCTTAATGTTACTTGTTCTGTTGTTCATAGTTGTGTCATACCCGTATATCGAATCAAAATTCTTCAGCTAACTGTATTTGGCAGGTCACAACTTCGCCTTTCGGTCCGTAGGTTCAAGAATGGTTAAGGAGACGCAGAAAGTAAATGCGTTTTATCGGATCATTCTGGGATTAAAACGTTGAAATTAAAACGCATTTCTGAGAACAAGGGTGATCTGATAAAACGCATTCTTCTTATTTGTTTGTCTTTTTCTCAAATTCGATTAAATTTGGTTTAGTCATGGTAAATGAGATATATCTTCATGTGGGATAGTCAAACAAAAACAGCAATGCTATTTTTTTGTTTAATTAGGAAAAAAAAAAACCCTTAATCGCGATTATATCGAAACCCTGATTTTGAGAAAAATGCGTTTTATCAGATCACGGCCGCGTGTTATGCTGACGTGGATGTGATAGCCACTTTCTGGATATACGCGAAAAGAGAAAAGCTCTTCCTTTGTTCTGCCGAGCCAGAATCGGATATACGTAAACAGATCTCACAAATCCAAGGTCAGAAAGGCGGTTATTGCTGACGGTTTCGAGTGAGAAATGGCACGAATCTAGACACGAATATCCACGCCAAGGAATATCCAACAGCCGAAAAAAATGGACTATGAACGCGTATAACACAATGTGAAGAAGAAAACAAGTAAATTCCAAATGAAATCTCATACATTAACAATTTCTTTAATAAAAATCAAATCTTCAGAATTATGCTACAATTCTTCATGTATTTGGCCCTATAGAACGTTTATTTTAATCTCTCTAACTCAAAACATGCGAAATGGATTATACGCAGATAGTGAAATGCGGCAGTGCATGTTAGAACTGTAGTTTGTGGCGTAAGGGGGGTGCGGAGGAGGAGGAGGAGGAGGAGAAGGAGGAAGAGGTTGAAAAGAATGATATAATTGTCACCCTGTTGTTACTGTTGCAAAATCGTCTGAGATTGTAAAATTATAAAATCGATAACGACTAAAACAGTAGACCTCGTGATTTGGGTGCGGGTTGCTGCAAAATAGATAACACTTAAAAGTGCTACATAATTTCAAGGATACGAAAAGACTATTATCTAGGCCAAAGAATTGGGTGGGGGTGGTCACCCCCCCCCCCCCTTTTAACTATTGCGTTTGTACCTAAGACCTGTGTAGGCGGCCATTGTTCTGATGGTCTTCACTGCTTTTTTATTCTTTGCTTTTTGTTGGTATTGTTTTGTTTTTGTCTAGTTTTTTGTGTTTCGTTGTGGGGTTTTTTTACACTATTTGATGTTCTATCAGACTTGTACGTTATTTAGCAGTGAAGAGAAACAGTAGATTTATTTTGGTCTCTGTTGAAAAATGCGTTTAGTGGACTTACATATTTAGAGAATAACACCGACGTTATGCACCCACAACCAACATGAAAAGTGGACGTGGAGTCTTAGGAATAGTCCTGATAGCACCGCTGATGCAATGTGCCGGGAATTTGCACTCACAAATACTGAGGATAAATTTGAGATTTCAACTCCAACTTTCGTTTAGTGTCTTAATCTGAGTAACAAAACTTTTTTTATAGATGCGGAAAACTTAGACTCTAGTTTAATTTATACTGCAACAGATCGTCGACACCGATGTCTGAGTTGTAGCAATCATATTTGCAGAAGACCCGAGTTCGATTCCCTTGTGGGGAGAATTTGTATCAAGCATCTCTGTCTTTCTTCTTGGGTGCTATTGTCTTGTAGCCCTCTCAATCCGTGTTGTTCGTCATAGGCAGGTTCGAATCGTCTAAATGGTGTTGATGAAGGCGCAAAACACCTCCATTTTAAAGGATAGCAATTTGGCGACGGTTTTATTTTTTAGAGAACAACAGACAGTGGAAAGAGATTCATTGCCTCCACTCTAAATCTGCACACTTGACCAACTGTGAGGCATCGTAGTGAAATTTGGCACTCGTCAAAATAAAACCGAAGATATTGACTTTTTTTTAAATCGCCCGTTGGACAATTCATATCGACTTTTTACATTAAAAAATCTGTTTTAGGGGGCGCAACATCTATTTTATTGGTTTAAAAACACGTTTTATGCGGATTTTTTCCAGAAAATGTTGATCACACGCTAAAACAAAAAATGTAAATTTTAGTTTCCAAAGACCAAAGACGCTAAGTGTTTTTAAAAGTCACTAAACTTAAGCAACCATTTCCTCGCTAATTTTACATCTGACATCAGGCGACCCTACCTCTTTCAATCGCTCATATCTCGACCTGTATTCAAAATAGATAGGATAGATAGGTAATAATTGTTTTTCATAAAAGGAAAGACAAATGATCAAGTGTTCCGCTTAAACCAACAAATCCTTATCTCCAAAAAATGGCGAGCATCAACAGATTCCACCGTGTCGTGACACAAGAGAGAGCTATGAGATTTTTTCTATTTTTTGGTAAGTATTTTACGGCACCCGCAACTGCATAAGGTCAAATGAGCGCACGGGACACATTAAACATTTTCAGTGGGTAGGAAATTTTTTAATTTGCCCCGGTGACGCTGAAGCCTACTCTTATCGATGTTAGACCACCAAGGGATCTTTAACGTACGCAACTTGCGAGATTTTTCGCCCTTGTCCAAGAAGGCCAGAAAAACAGCAGTAAGGAGGAGCCAAGGTGTGGCAGTAGAAAGGCTGCAGAAAGAGTCAGGAACCCAGAGGAGGGGGGCAAAGGAGGTGAGGGGGTGGGGGCAGAAAGTGGAGACGAAAACCGACGGCAGAACATTGCTAGAGAGCAGGAAAGAGGGTGAAGGGGGACAATTTTCCAGGATAAAATTTTTCTGTCGCTACCCGGAATCGAACCCGGGACCTTTGAATGAGAGGCGAACACCTGTTAAGCTCTATATCTAGGCCACGAGAGCTCCTTGCTATGAGACTGCGATTGTTAAATCAATACTTCAAAACGGGACTGCTTTATTTGGTTTGATTGCTTACTCTGTTGTGGCAAAAGTCCCGTGCAAGAAACGTTACAGTTTCTGAACTTGCAGACATGATTGATAAAGTATTCCCTGACCTCAGTTCCATCTGGTGGGCATGTTTGAGGCTTTTTGTTTTATTTTTATTTTCTTGGTGTTTTGCGTTATTTTGTTTCGTTTTGTTTTGTTCTTGTCTTTTTTGCATGTTTGTTTGTAAAAATAATAATAATAATAGATAGCATTTGTATAGCGCATATCCCCGCTCAACAGCAGGCTCTATGCGCTTTACACTATATTGTACTCCACTGGCCGATATCTCTCGTTATAAGAAAAACTGGAACTCTTAAGTCAGCACTTCAGAAACCTACATCTCGAAAAGTTACACTTCGTTAGATGCTAAAAGGCAAAGCACTGTTTTTTATTCAGTCCGACAGGGGTGATAGGCCTGAGTGTGGAATACAGATGAACGAACCTGTGTAAACGTGTCAATTTTTTTTTTTTAAGTTTTAATCAGAGTTTGTTTTAGTAAATGTTTTACAGCACTTGAAACACAATAAGGTCATATAAGTGCCGAAGATTAGAGGTACGGTGTTACAAGAGAGTAGCAAACACAAAAAAGAAGGAGGTGAGATACAGACGATAGATGTTTGAAAGGAGAGAAGAAGCAAACCACACCAGAGCACCCGCCAACAACCCACCTAGTCAGAGTAACTACTTTTGCAACGCAATAGGGTCATATAAGTTCCGACGATTAGATGTCTTACAAGTGAGTAACAAACACTAAAAGGGAGAAGAAGGGATAATTATGATAGATGTTTGATAGGAAAGAAGGAGTGAACCACATCAGAACACCTACTTAAAATATCCAAGGTCAAACTTTACCTCTGAACAAATTTTACCACTGCTCAGCTTCAAAATTCATTTCCCATCGGTTTCAAAAAGATTTACTTCTTGCGCGGCTCTTTCCGTGCGCGTCGATGAGAGAGCATGCCATCTTCAGTATGCATAATGATATTATTTTAGAATTATGACAAAGATTTGCCAAAGAGTCGATGAGGACGCGCTGTTTTTTATGTTTAGTTTCTCTAAAAAAAAAAGAAGAGATTTAACTTCGTTATTCATGTTGATTTTTGCTTTTCTATTTTAATTGTCAAGAACTTCAATGAGTGTGAGGGGGGTGGGGGGAGGGGGGCAAAATCATGCAAACTACGAAATATGCAAATTCACGTCTCTGATTTCTGTATGATGATTCAGAATGTGCCGCAACATTGCCTTTGATCTGCTGCTGGTAAGACATATCTGTCAGCTTCAGCTTGTAAGAGTTCATGTAAAGAACAACCGCGTGCGCAAATGATGATTCATGTCCAATCAGCAATATTATGATACAGGATTATTTTACTAACTTCTGAATAATGGCGTCGGGCTAGGTGATTAGGCTCTTGAATTGGATGTGCAGCCGTTGTTGGTCTGAATCCCGTCCAGGACACAGCGTTGTGTCCGTAGGAAAGGTCCTTTTAACAAATTGTATCCACTTTACCCTTGCGAGAATGAGTACCCGGCTAAAGACAGTGAAAGATCTTGTCAGTTTCTTAGTATTTGAGAGCGTGCAATCCGCACCTTGCACTGTATGCTTCTCGTGTTTTAGGGTCTTCTAGGGTAATAATAATTGTAAGCAAATCGCGCGTACTGTAGATAGAAGCAGAAGCAGCAGCAGCAGCAGCAGCAGCAGCAGCAGCAGCAGCAGCAGCAGCAGCAGCAGCAGCAGCAGCAGCAGCAGCAGCAGCAGCAACATAGTTTGCGTGGTTTTGCCCCCCCCCCTCCCCCAATTAAAGTTCTAGACAATTTAAATAGAAAGGAAAAATCAACTTGAATAACGACATGTTTGACATCCTCCTTTTCATGGCCGCATCTTCGGCAACGTGGGCTGAGCTCTTCATTTACAATGTTCTATCTGCTAAGTACCTAGCTTTGAAAAATTTGGCGTTAAATATTTTGAATTTCACAACATGCCGAGCTTTTTTCGAATGCAAATATTTGAACATCTTGATAACGAGTTCGAACAATCTTATGAATTTGATACAGCAGATAGAACATTTGGTTTCTGACCTCTTGGTCTCAGTAACTCAAAAAGGCCACTATTCAATGTCAGATAGAAGTTTGTAAGGTAGCTATAATATAATGAGTCACAACGCGGTGGAATCAGGCGCTTGTCAATTTTTGGGCATATGGCGTAATTTTGTAGTATCTGAAGGCTGATTTATTTTCCTTGCTTCCAATATAGAACTCAAGATTTTTTTGCGATTGTAGGAAGTGGGGTCGCCTGGTTTCAGTGGTGAAATTAGCGAGAAAGTGGCCGCCAAAGATTGGTAACTTCCAATGCCTGAATGCCCTTGGAAACTGCAGGTTTACATTTTTGTGCCTTTGATCCTAATTTTTCAGTAAAAATCCACTCAGATGTGTTTTTAATGGAAATAATAAAAGTGTTGAACAAATAGAAAAAAAAATGACAAAACTTTCCCTGCCGGTGAAAAAATGTCGGTTACTTAGATTTGCTTATTTTGACGAGCGCCTGATTTCACCACAATGCCTCACATAATGTGTACTGCACTCACCTTTTCGGGGCAGAAAGGATGTAGATTGCAGAACTGGGGACAGCCGGACCTGGAGTAGGTGGCGTTGTAGACATCGCTGGGTGGACGTGGCTCCACAGGCTCAGGCGGACGCCATCTGTTTGTGTGGGAGAGGAAGGGGGGGTGGGGGAGGTAGGGTGTAAGAGTATGTTGTATTCCACGCAATTTACCGATCGGTGCAATCTTGCACGTTTTAACGATTGTATAATTGCGCGGTAATCTTAAGATTGCGTTAATATTTTATATTTTTGAAAAATAAACATTTTTAAATTCATTTCTATCTTTGTTATTTAATTCACATCAAGGAACATTCACATATATTTTCAAAATATATGAAAATGAAAATTAACCTTAACTTTTTCTTTTCCACGAATTATAGGCACAATGACCAGCGTTGTTTATTTTGTTTATGTGAATGGTGTGAAAATCATAAGCTGCTTTTAAATGTGAATCGTTGATTTTAGAATAAAGAAACTGCTCCTGCAGCCTCTCAAAATGAAACGTGAAAACATCGAGCAAGTGTCAGACTATAAGTATTTGGGTGTTACAATAGACAACAAACTCAACTGGCGTGTCCACACTTCTCTCCTGCATAAAAAAGTGAACAAAAGACTATTTTTTCTAAGAAAGCTAAAGTATTTTAAAGTTGATAAAACATTGATGTCCATGTTCTACCATTCAACCATAGAAAGTATGATCAATTTTTGTATAACAGCATGGGCCGGGAACACAAGACAACAAGATAAAGAAAAATTAAATCGACCAATACGGAAAGCATGTAAAATTTCAACATCTTCATTACCCTACTTGGATGAATTGTACATAACAGCTTGCACTAAGAAAATTAATTCCATCTTTTTAGACAAAAAACATCCCTTGTTCCCTCAAATAAAAACATCAGTCAGAAGTAAAAGACCCATGCTTCTGATCTGTAACAAAGAAAGATACAGAAGGTCATTTTTATCATCATCTATCAAAATGCTTCCATCTTAACCATCTTGTTTAGTGTACTTACGACCTTAGAGCATGCATCAAAATAACATTGAGTGTGTATCTAGCTTACGATTATTATTGTTTATATTGCTGCTCATTTATATTATGCATGTGATTGTAAGCCTACTTGTGTGTACATGTGTGTGCACGTGTGTGTGTGTGTGTGCACGTGTGTGTGTGTGTGTGTGTGTGTGTGTGTGTGTGTGTGTGTGCGTGTGTGTGTGTGTGTACTCGTGGTGGAACACCAAACCAATGTGCCAGGATCTGGACAATAAAGATGTATCTTATCTTATCTTAGAATCACATCGACACAATAATGGGAATAATAGTGTTGGGGAAAAGACAGACAGACAAACTAGGAACAGCAAAAGGACCTACCAGTGGTGCCCTCCAACCACCCGAGTCAAAAGTTGTATAAGAAAGACACCGATGTACTGGATCGTGGCGTAGAAAGAGTTAAAATTAAAACCAAGGTAAGAAGCTGAAAAGCTCTCACGAATGATACGGTAAGAATCAGTAAGTGTTACAATTTTGATATGTTGGGCGACACCATTCTATCATTATGCATTATTTGAAAAATTGTTCTATTGGCGTGGATATAAGTGGCAAACCCTCTGTCTGGACTGAATACAGTGGCGTGAAGCCGTGACATTAAAATTTGGTAGCAAGGTTGTTTTAGAAGAAAAAAAGAGTTCGTAAAGTGGATAGATAGATAGATAGATAGATAGATAGATAGATAGATAGATAGATAGATAGATAGATAGATAGATAGATAGATAGATAGATAGATAGATAGATCGTAGCAGAGTCAGCCAAAGACGCCAGAAAACTCAGACAGTCAAATCTTGACGATGCCATTACGCCGCCTTAGAATTACAAATTTCTATCTGCTCAGAACCTAGTTCTGAGAAATTTTACGTTAAACTTTTTGGGTTTCACATCATGTCAAGCTTTTTCGAATGCACTTCTTTGAATATTTTGATCAAGGTTTCAAATGATCTTACGACTTTGATAGAACAGATAGAGCTTTTGGTTTCTGGACCTCTTGGTCGTAGTAACTCAAAACGGCCAAAAATGTCAGATAAAACTTGGTAAGTCTAAGGTAGCGATGGTCCAACTAGCAAAAAGTGTTTTGTTTGTTGAAAACGCTTCTGAAATAGAATAGCCCTTGAAAGTCACCAGTGAAGTCATAAGAAGTTTGAAGCAACTTTCCTTATGCTTAGTGAGATAATCGCACCACTTCAGGAAAGGGATGTCGCCTCAGCTTTGGCGAACTCTGACATTTGTGATCATAACAAGCTGTTTGCTGTTCTTTCCTTTACTTTGCTCTCTCTCTCTCTCTCTCTCTCTCTCTCTCTCTCTCTCTCTCTCCATCCCCCTCTCTCTCTCTCTATGTCTCTCTGTGTGTGTTTCTCTCTCTTTCTCTCCCTCTGTCCCTCTGTCTCTCTCTGTGTCTCTGTGTCTTTGTGTCTCTGTCTCTGTCTCTCCCTCTCTCTCTGTCTGTCTCTCTGTCTGTCTCTCTGTCTCTCTCTCTTTCTCCCTCCCTCTCTCTCTCTCTCTCCCTCCCTTTCTCTCTCTCTCTCTCTCTCTCTCTCTCTCTCTCTCTCTCTCTCTCTCTCTCTCTCTCTCTCTCTCTCTCTCTCTCTCTCTCTCTCTCTCTCTCTCTCTCTCCTTCTCTCTCTCCCTCCCTTTCTCTCTCTCTCCCTCTCTCTCTCTTTCTCTCTCTCTTTCTCTCTCTCTCCCTCTTTCTCTCTCTCTCTTTTTTTAACACGCTAGAGACCAACAGAGGCTAGCATGGTCTATAACTTCTTTGTATCCTTGTATGTTAAAGGTCATCATCAATTGATAATGGATGAACTACGGTGCAGTAGAAAGATTGAGATAGATAGATAGATAGATAGATAGATAGATAGATAGATAGATAGATAGATAGATTATTTTGTTATTCAAAGTGCTTTTACCAACCTCAGATCTCCCAGCGGTGGTTTTGCGAACGGGATGCCACGGAAGACTCGAACATGCTGTAACATCTGTGCACGGTACGACCCTTTAGGGGTGACCACCACAGACGGGTCAAAGGTCGCTTCAGCGTTATTCCCGTCTGTGTTTTTGGTGTCGTTACTGGTACCGCTGTTTCCTGATTTGACATCATTGTTCTTGCTGCTGGAGCTGAACCATTCGAAGTCTTCGAAATTTTGGGAATTCAAAGCAGGGGGCAAAATGATGAGGAGCAGCACCAAAACCAGCATAGAGGACACCATGAATAAGTAGCAGCAGCACCTATTTCCTGGTGGAAGAAAATCAGAATACAAGAGAAATATACACGCTGATAGATAGATAGATAGATAGATAGATAGATAGATAGATAGATAGATAGATAGATAGCACCTTGAAAATGTAATCACTTAATCATTGTGTTAAAAGCCTTGCAGTACACACTCTTGCAGCATACCACTTTAAAGCTAAATACATTCTGCATCATCTGACACACATCTGACAATGGTTCATCTATGTTAAGAGTCGCCCGCCCGACAAATTATCACTCAAAACTGATCTTAGAAACTCAGACTTGGCAAACTTGTGTAAAATTAATTTTAAAAGCGAAAAAGTGTAGTCGCGCGTGTACTAGGTACATCAACATTGGTGGAATGGACGTGGAATGGAAAAGTGTGTCTTCACAATAAACAATTTTATTACGATTCTTTCAGACAGATCGGAAAACAGGACAATCGCAAAGTCTACATAAAACAAGGGCGTAACATTGAATGTGCTCATTATTATTTTGTTTAGGATCTAGGAACCATTGGTTTCATGTGGAGCACGAACCCTTTGAGTGCGGACTGTGTTAAAATTTGGACATAATTCTCAGTCACAAAGAGTAGCAAACAAAGCATCGGGGGGCTCTCTTGGCCTAAAGGTTAAGGTGTTCGCCTCTCAATGAAAGGTTCCTGGTCCGAATCCGGGTAACGGCAGAACAGTTTTCTTCTCTAAAATTGTCTCCTTTCACCTCCTTTCCTGCTCTCTAGCAATGTTATGTTGTCTGCTTTCGTCTCCCTTTTCTGCCCCCCCCCCCCCCCCCCCGAGTTTAATGTCTATCTAGATAAAGACCGAGCCAAATAGGAAATTCGAGAAGAGTGTCATTCCCAAGGAAACAAAGTCGAACCGAGCTGAGGCCCAAACCCCCGAACTCGCAATCTCACGGTTACGGGTCTGATAGCCTAACCACAAGACTACCGACGCCACTTTAAAACCCTATTATATCAAAAACTAAGAAAAGCTATAATACTTACATAAAGGAACGAAACAAAAATAGACACAACAAATTCAGGAAATCACTGCATGGTTGAGACAGACCTTTTGGTAACACCAGAGCTGGCATGCCTCTTCCTGGCTGATGGGATACGTTATCTTTCAATGCAGAGCTGTAATTGCGCGCTACTGGTAAATAATGCACCATCACCTAACAAAGCAGAATAATTACCGTCCTTCAAACCTGTCGTGCAACAGCTTGCTTGGAAAGTCCATTACAATGACGAGCCTGGTATTGTCAAACTTATACGGCCGTTAAATCATTGTTCGTCACGCTGGATACTTTTATGGGGATGATATTCTACGAGATTTTACTATCCTAAATGTTTTAAACTGTCCACAGTTATTGGGTAAAAGTAAATGTGAATGTGTGTGTCTGTGTGCGTGTGTGTGTTTGTGTGTGTATGTGTATCAGTGTCTGTGTGTATGTAGGTGTGTTTGTTCGTGAGTATGTATGTTTTTGTGTGTTTGTGTGTGTGTATGTGAGTGTAAGCGTATGTGTGTATATGTGTGAGTGTATCTGTATGTGTGTGTACGTGTGTATGTGTGCGTATGTGTGTCTGTGTGTATATGTGCATATAAGTATATATGTGTGTGAGTGTGTGTGTGTGTGTGTGTGTGTGTGTGTGTGTGTGTGTGTGTGAGTGTGTGTGCATGAAGAAATGAAGAAAGACACGTCTGTGGTGTAGCAGTAAGACACTTTGCTGTCTCAAGCAGAAGACGCGAGTCTGATTCCTTAGAGCGGAGAATTTGTATGGAATACCTAAGTCTTTCTGTTGGAATGTTGTATCCCTTTCGGCCCGGGTTGACCCTGACAGGCATGGTTGGAAGCCCTTCTCACAAATGATCTTAAGTGTATCAGTGGAGATGTAAGAACACATACATAACAAAGGGGAAGAAAGCGTAGAAAGCCCATTTTGACATTTAAATGTTTAGATAAGGGAAGAAGAGGGGATAACTCTGTGGATTTTATTTTACATTGTTTAGGGGGGGGGGGG